AACCGCTCCCATCCCCTAACCCATTCTTTTTTCTTTGTTACGACCCCAAGGAAAAAAATGTTAGAAAAGTTGTGATTGATGGAATTGGAGATGACTCTGCTAGTATCCAAGTCTTTTTCGATCATGTAGAGAGTTATATGGTTCTGTGAAAGGTATGTACTTAATCCCTGGATGATGCATGAACCTTCTTGTTTTATTTATTACTGGAATTGTGACCTTTGATTCACCAATTTATGCAGTCTTTTCATCAGTGACGTTGTTTGCTTGTGGATTATTAATGCAAGTATGAGTTGATTAAAATTTCAGTTTTTGGTCTAGCTAAAAGGATTTGGTTTTCTTTTATTTATATATATTTTGAGTGAAAAAGAGTTTGTTGTGGCTAGACTGATTTTGGTTTTTGGTGGAGCTAACAAGATTTGGTTTTCTTTTTTATTTATTTATATTTTGAGTGAAAAAGAGTTTGTTGTGGCTAGACTGATCTTCATCGTCATTTTTTCGCTACTTGATGAAGTTGCAAAATACATTGATGTAGATAAGTTTGGCAAAGCTTACAAGTGTAGCTTCTTTAGTTTCCACTTGATGTAGATAAGACGTTTCCTTGTTGTTGGAATTGAGACATCTGATTTGAACATCTCATCATGTCAAAGAGTCATGTTTCTATGAAAGTCAACCTTATTCTTTTGGTGTTAACAGAAGTTTCTCCTTTTTTTATTTTCGGAATTCCATTTTAGATAACTCGGATAGCATTAGTAAAGTTAAGAGAATCTTTCTACTATATAAAGTTGTTACGGCGGTGTTGTAAAAACAAACGCTATTTGAAAGCTTTCAAAAGGCATCTTCCGTCTCGTCCATGCATGTGACATTATTCCACAACCAACCCCTCCCCCACCCCAAAAGATACGGTCTTGTTCACCGCAAGTTAGTTGAGAAAAAAAAATCAACAATGAACATTGTTAAAATAAGGATGCAATGCAATAAAACCATATATCCATTTCCTAGTCGGATAACTTTACCGGACCGAACCTTGTGCTGTGTAAATTTTAGCATAAACAAAGTTCACACTGCCCATTATCTCTAACCACCAAGGCACTGACCTGTATAAGTAAGAAAAACAAAGGCAAGTCCTCTCACTTTCAATACTTCTTAATTTTTTCAAGAGAGAGAGAAAGAGAGAGAGTTAATGGCGTTAGCGAATAACTTGACCGCGATACTGAACTTACTTGCGTTACTATGCTCGATACCTATAACGGTGTCAGGGATATGGCTTGCCTCAAAGCCTGACAACGAGTGTGTCAATCTCCTCCGTTGGCCTGTTGTCGTCCTCGGCGTTCTCATCCTCGTCGTCTCCGCTTGCGGCTTCATCGGCGCATACCAGTAAGTTCTCTATAAGGACAGAGACTTTTGCTTTAGTTTGATTCAAACGTTTGAGCTCAAAGCCTCAAATGATCACTCTGAATAATTCTCTCAGTCACAAGGAGACTCTTCTGGCTGTTTACTTGTGCTGTATGGCGATACTGATCGGACTTTTGCTGGTGGTTCTGATATTCGCTTTCGTGGTGACCCGACCCGACGGGTCGTATCAAGTTCCGGGTCGAGGTTACAAAGAGTACAGGCTTGAAGGGTTCTCGAATTGGCTGAGAGAGAACGTTGTGGATTCAAAGAACTGGGGGAATATAAGGGCTTGTTTGGCTGATACAAACGTTTGTCCTAAGCTCAGCCAACAGTTCATCACCGCTGATCAGTTCTTCTCTTCCTCTTCCATCACTCCTCTCCAGGCATGTTCTCTCTCTCTCGTCTTTTATTCTCATTATTCTGAACTTGAAACTTCTAGTTTGTTACATTTAACCCCACACTTTACATCTCATACCGCTTTATTTTACCTTATATTGTTAGCAATCTGTGGTTATTAATGGAAGTAGGTTAGCAGTGATAAATTACAGTAAATGTAGTTAGCTGCAATGTTGAAGTCACTAGCAGCAGTAAATATGTTCCCTAGTTAATCAAAACCGACATAATTGTTGATGGTAATTTGTACACGTAAAACTTTAACTAAGATTAGTTGGATACTTAAGTCCACATCTTAAGTTAGTGCCTTAAAATGGTACCATTTGTTTTCAGGAAAATTCTTATTAGGTAATAGGTAGCTCGGAAACGACTTTTAAGTTATAATCTGGACTGAATGTTAACTTGGAAAGATGCCAAAGAATCATCTTCCTGATTAGATCTTACAACACTTTAATAATTAACTAGAGTTTCACCCGCACATCCGTACGGATATATTTTTTCATTTTATAAATATATAACTAAAATTTTTAAATATATGATTTATATTTTAGTTTTAATTATAACTATATCTAATAACGAAATAAAGAAATACTTATTTTATAAAAAAATATATTTAAATTTGGGAAGATCTTTTTAGATTTTTTCAACAGATTTTGTTATATTTAAATTTATTTATTATTAATATCCTTATTAGCTATTAAGATATTTTGAAAGTAATATATATTTGGTTGTTAATGTAACCATCAAATATGTCAAATTAAATAATTAATGACATGGTCCAACATGATTTCTAAATAGTAGATAAATTTGGTACTTCTCTTTTAATAGAGAAGATATTAGATCATTAATTAAGATTATGTTAAAGAGTATATTTGTCTCAATATGAAGATTATGTGAGACCTACGGTTTGTTCTTACAAATAAAAAAGAAAGAAAGAAAGGTCCATCATTCAGAAAAGATATAATAAAAATTTCCACTTTAGCTTTTGTGAAGTCCAAAAGAATATTGTTCTTATTCTCTGTTCTCCTTTTATTCTGTAGTAGCTTTAACATTTTTAAATTTATTTCCTTTTGTTCCTTATCCTTTAGAAAACTAAAAAAAAATCAAATATATAAGTGGACTAATCCATTGGTTCTGAACAATTCAAACATCTAATTTCAAGTCTGGGAGAGGTACTCCATTCATTTTCTTAGCATAATGCATTCAGTTAACGTGTTAGAGTACTTAAATTCTAGGCGTATGTAATCTCAATTAGTAAAAACTTCCTTTGAAACTCTGTATTGAAAATATTTGATTTCTTAATATATAAGTACTAGGATAAGATCCGCGCCTTGCACGGGATGTATTTATTATTCTTATTATGTTTTCAAAAATGAAACAATAGTTCTGTTTCATTTGGATTAGAGGTGTTCAATCCGGATATCGGGTTTCCGTTCGGTTTGATTTTTTGCTATTTCGTTATTAAAATATAACTACTTTTCTAAATCCATATTTACTTCAGTTTGATTTATTTTATATACCATCGGTTTTCAGTTTATTCAGTTTTATACCAAAAAAACATAATTATTTAGTTTGAGATCATATTATATATTATACAAATATATAACATGATCATATTTAGAGTCATATTGTCAAAAATTCATTTATTAAAAAAATATTATATATTTAAATAAAAGAATAAAAACAAAAAAAACTTCTATCATCTAATAAAATGATCAAATCTGGAATCAATATCAAAGCACTAAATTAAAAAAAAAAAAACAAAACAAAACCAATGCATGAAAGAAAAGTTTTTATATTTTTCTATATTTAGTGTTCATCAAATTAATATGTCTTCGATTGAACACAATTATATTTGTTTAAAGATAAAAAAAGTTGTAAAGAATTTCAACTAATTGTTGTCCATCAAATTTATAATCTTTACTTCAATTTAGTTACTGTTAAAAAAAAAGCAAAAAGATCAAAATAAGAAGCCTCAGTTGCAGTAAATTGTTAGTTCATTATAGTTCAAGTGATTCAAGTGATTTACAAATTATAATTATAGTTCAACTCATGTAACAAATATATATTCATGTGTCATTATAAATATATACATAATTATATGTTTCAGTTTAATCGGTTATAAATCAAACCATATCCAAATCCTACGGTTTTTATAAAATCACATCCATTCGATTTGTATGGTATATACCAAAAATAACCATATTATCGATTTTTTAATATCTTTTAAAATATAAAATTTTAAAAAGAACTAAGATATTTAAATCATTGATAACAATATTTTTCAATATGAAAAATTTAAAATTTTTATAATTTATAAATTTTCTTGAAAATTCATTGAATTAAGTTATTGAAATTAAAATATTTATGTAATCTTATTTGGTATAAAGTTTAATCTATATATATATATTTGTTTTATTATTGAATAATACTTTTTACTCATATGGTTTTAAAATCATTTGTATCTTTTTATAATAAAAATGTTAAACTATTGATATTAATTTTTAACATAATAATGTTAATTGTTTTAGTCATTTATTCTCATTTTTAAAAATTCAAAATATAACATATACTAAAAAAATTTAATTTTAATTTTATAGCTAATTTGATTGTTTAATTTATTTTAATAATATAAAATTAAAGAAAAATGATGGAGGAGATATAAATTGTTATCAAATATTTATTGTTAGAATCATTAATTGTCACATATATATTAGACATTTATGGTAATTCCGTAAGTTTTATTTAAGAAAAGAAAATAAATAGTAATCATATCTAGCGGAACAATCATAAATGCTTCTAACATAAATATTATATCATATTATCATAACATATAGTTTGACCAACGAATATATCTAGTGACATATAAATATCAAATGTGGATCTACTTATTTTTCCATTGAATGTAATTGACTACCTAATTGAGTGACACCTAACCATTGGACTCTTTTTTAATTATTACAAAATTGAGGTTACAATTTTTCAAATGTTTTTCTTTTAATATATAAGGGATATAACCATATTTTTTCCTAGGAGACTAGTGTAATAATTGCTGGAGATCAACAATGATAAAGATTATAGCTAGATAATTTAAAACAATATGCACTATCAGAAGGACCCACCATGCACCCATAATATGTTACATGATAAAATAGGTTTTATCTTTATTTATTATATGTCCCTTGTTATAATCTCACTCATATAAATCAATGATCCCAATCTCCTTGATAAGTCTTTTTCATATCAACTCAAACTTGACAAAATTTTCAACGTTTTCTATTAGTCATTATTTTTAAATGTCACTCTTAAAATTCATGTTCATGTCTTTTTTTTTTTGCTTGAATTCCATGGAGAGAAAAAGCGCAAAGCTTATTGTTTAACTTTTTAAAGCAAATATTGACCAAAGTGATTGCTATAAATCTCCTATTTTTAGTTACATTTGAATAGAATCCCGTGCGCTATTGTAGTTAATAATTAGTTATGTGGGTGATAGGATCATCTGCTTTTCCGATCTTTATAGTTTATCTGAATCAAAATTTCTGATATTCATTTACCAAAAAAAAAACGTCTGATATTCTTCATCAGATAAATTTAAATCATTTATATATTTTTTTTCCTTTAGTTTATAACAAGGTGGCATCCAAGCCCACTGTACCAAGACTGGAACCACTAATCTCTAATTAAATAAGCTTAGATGATGAGGTTTTGACTGATAGTATATAATAAGTAGACATTATTAAATATTAGGTTCTTTGTCCATGTTAAGCGCGGATTATCTACTATATAGGATTTGTTTCGTTTTGTTTTTATAATCTGTTTAAATATAAGAAAGTCTTATATGTTATTTGACAAAAATCATTGAATTGATGTAAAAACATAATCGTTTATGTTTAAAGTTCACATATACTATTTTCCTTATCAAATATCTTTTTATTTTGCTAATAAATACATGGCTAAGTGAGTAGATTTCGTTCTATCAAACAATTTTGGATGGGTTTAAAACTTTCTTCTGCATTTGAGCAGTTTGTTATGTTTTTGATTAACTATATTAGTAAATATCATAATTTAATTGTTTTGTGTTTGGTGTTTTATCTTCTCCATGCATTACACAATTACTTATGTGTTTAGCCTAACAATTTCACATCATATAGTTATATAGTATTATTTATTTACTTACTACATATATCTTGTTTGAATTAATTGTTCTAGATAGATATTTCTATCCGATATCTGAAATTTTAAAATACACATGTCAAAATGTTCCATTTAGAAACATATGCTAACATATAGAACTAACACAACATGTTATCTAAAAAGAAAGACAATCAGATATTTGAAATAAGCACGTATAATAAATGGTAAACAAAGACGACCTAATATTTAGTTTAAAGATAAACACAGAAACACTAATAAGAAGACAAAACATGACTTGCAATTTAGAAACAAGCACAGTCTCTAGTTTCAACACCAACACTAATAAGCAAAGAAAACATGGCTGCAATTTAAAAAAAGACGATCAATAATTTGGAAATAAACACAAACTTATTTTTTTTTAAAATGCCAACACAAATAAGCGAAAAATGACATGTAATTTTAAAACAATCTGATCCGCAGTTTGAAAACAAAAATGAATTCGAGTTTAAAAGAAACACGACTGGTTGTTTAATTTAAAAACAAACACTGATAGTCATACTAAACACAAGCTATTATTTAAAAAAAATGAACTCTATAACTTTAAACAAACATGATAGACAGATCAGTATGAGGATGTGGTAAATTAAACAAACAACTAAGCAGTATAGTTTTTCTTACAGAAAAACCACAATGAAATCTCAAAATAATAAAAAGTAACAAAAATGTTAGGTTTGGAAAATGTGACGACACTGACTAACTCTTTTTCGATATGTGGTTGTCACCAAGAGTAAGGAAGGGGTACTTTCACTTCTGTTTAACTTCCGCACCTTTGTCCCACATGATACATTTAAAATCGTTTCCCATGCAGATGGTC